TGAGCTTTAAGGGCCCTTCCCACCCAAACCAGTCTGGGATTCGATGATTCTACTAATACAAAACCCAGCACTCTGATAGCTGCTGTGGGGAAAATTAACTCCCATCTCAGCCAGACCCAACACACCAATTCACATCTTCCTTTCCATTGCCCGCCAGCCCTGCTGATCGCCATCAGCACTGCCGTGGACAGGATCATCGCCCACTTCAGCACCGCCCGGAACCTGGTGCAGAAGGTGAGGATCTGGGCTGAGGCTCTGACCAGGCTGGGGTGGGCAGGAGTGAGGATGGGCCGTGCTTAGGGCCTGAGGGGCTTTGGGAGCTCCAGAGGGAGGATCCCACCATCCCTCCCTGTGGGCTCAGGGTAGGTGCTGCCATTCCCCTCCCTCTCCTCTCCCTGTGCCTCCCTGCTTCAGGCCCAGCTGGGAGACAGTCGGCTCAGCCCAGATGTGGGTCACCTGCTGCTGCACACCCTCTGCCCTGCGCTCTACGCCTTGGTGGAGGATGGGCTGAAGCCATTCCAGAAGGATGTTATCACAGGCCAGAGGAGAAATTCTCCCTGGAGCGTGGTGGAAGCCTCTGTGAAAACAGGTCAGTGTGAGGAACATGCTCCTGGAGATGTTGGGATCAGCATCTCAAGGTGCCTGGAGTCCTTTTCCAGCCTGGGCTGGCGGAGGATGTGCTCCCAGAGCAGTGACTGTGTTGTGTATTCCACAGGCCCCAACACCCGCTCTCTCCACAACCTATGCTGGCACGTGGCTGGGTTGGCCCCTCTCAGCAGCACCAGGCAGAAGTTTCATGCCTTTATCCTCGGCCTTTTGAAGTGAGTATTGGCCCTTGATGGCCCAGGCTGTCCTTCCTGCGAGGGCAGGTTGGAGCAGAGTCCCAAGAGCAATAAGTCGGGTTCTCTTTGTCTTTTTTAGCATTAAGCAGCTGGAGCTGTGGATCTCTCACCTACAGAAGAGCCCAGGTAAGGACACAGTGCCCAGAAGCTCCCCACCCAAGTCCTCTCCTACTTGCCAGGGCGATAATCCCAGACCCGTTCCACTCACAATGCTTGGCTGGGATTTCCATAGTGGACAAGGGCGTAGTTTTCTGTGTCGTACTGGATGCGAGCAGTCAGGCAGACAAGGTGGAACATCATTTGGACCTGCTAGGATGGACCTGCTGGCCCTGGGAGGGGTGTGTGGGCAAGGGCAGGACATTGTGCAGCTGTCCAGCGCTGTCCATATCTCATAGGTGTCATCTCCATGCTGTATTCACCCATGGCCTTCTTCGCCCTGAGCCAAGGCCCTCTTCCCCACCTCGCTGATGAACTGCTGCTGCTCATCCAGCCCCTCTCAGTGCTGACTTTCCACCTTGACCTCCTCTTTGAACACCACCACCTCTCCATGGACGTAAGACCCTTGTCCCGTCGGCTGGAGTCACCCCTCTCCCCTGCCCGTCAGGCCACTCAGGCTCGGGGGGCCATGCAGCCTTCTCTGGAGAGCCAAAGCAGTGCTGCTGGGACAAGCCTGGAAGATGAAATCCCCCCTGATGCCCTGGGGCGGGCAGCGGGTGCAGAGGACACCCAAGGATCCCAGTCCCAAGCAGCTCTGCACGGGCTGGGTCCTGGTCCCCAGGTGGGGGCTGCCTTGCAGGAGACCTTCCAGCACGTGCTGCGGTGGGGTGACCAGCTCAGTCGCACTTTCCTGGGAGGTGACAGCTCCCCGGAGAGCCAGAGGCCCAGGGCAGGCCCTCAGGATGCTGGGGCTGGCCTCAGTGGCTGGTGGGGCCAGCTGAGCCAGGCTTCCAGGATTTATGCTGCTCCTAGTAAGGAAAAGGTCCCCTTCATCTGGTGGACAAAGCTGCGGTCGGCTGCGGCTGATTCCAGCCCCGGCCAGGCTGAACGACCCCACGTATCCATCAGTGAGCCTAGAGGCACGGAGCTGCAGCTCCTTCAGACCAAAGCTGTCCCTGAACATTCTAGCCCAACGCCCGGCAGCAGCACTGACACCTCTGGGACCTCTTCACCTGAAGACCTCATCCTGCCTGCTGGAGCTGGAGCACCCACCAAGCCAGATGATCCCACTGCTGGAGAGAAACTCCTGGCTGCTTCTCCAGAGCCTCGTGCGAATAGGAACCGGGCAGCCCCTTCTGACCCAGAGGCTGGGGGTCCTCCTGGTCCTGAG